GTATCATCCAAAGTTCTATCATTTCTCAAAGGACTTTTCAAGCCTTCCTATGCAGCTATCTTTGGAAATGTAGTAATCTCTTTAGAGTGCTGAAATGTAATATGCCTGGATTTTAGTATTGGGTTTCATCATAAGAGTGGATACATAGATGGGTACATGGGCACATATACAGGCAGAGTGAATGTATGTTGAAAGTAAGAGTGAAAGTGAAAGCGACAGATGAAAGGTGTGAGATGGAGAAAGGGGAGACTACAGATGATGAAGTTTTCCATCTTGATGGATGGAGAGGGTGGTGTAGACTAGAGGTGGAAATGATGCTCTCTAGTGGTGAACTTTGGTCTTCAGTTTATATACCAGCTCTTTTCACTGTATGCCCATGACATACATCTGAAACTTTCTAAGCCTTTATTTTCTCATCCATAAAATGGGAATGATATTAGTACTGCTTCATAGAATTACTGATAGGTAAATGTTACAATAAATGTTAAGTGCTTGGCACATTGTCAAGCACAAAGTCAGCACTCTTTACATGGAAGTTTTTTTATTTGTTAATAGAACTTGTTCTCCCCAAAAGGGCATTCTAATAACTAGACTGTTCCAGAGCAAAGGAACAGCCCCATTTGAAGTTTCTTGCTGTTGACACATCTATGTGTTAGGTAATGTTTACTGCATTAAGCATCATTTCTAGCATTTTCTTTACTTACTTATATCTGGAAGGCTAAAAATGGCATTTTACACATTAATGGACAACAAGGTTCTGGTTATGATACAATTGTACCAATGAAATGGCCATTCTACCAATGGAATAGGGATGGCCTAATGGAAATCATTCTTCTCTGCCATGGTGGCTAGCAGGCAAGGTCAAGTAAGGGAGAGAATTTTTGGAGGCTGGAGTTCACACTCAAGAGACAAGTGGCTGATCCTCAAGGAAGTAAAGCTACATTAGCAGGTTTTGCAGACTTCAGCAAAATACCCATGTGATATAGTTTTGGGGCAAAATGATTTCTGCTCTCCCAGCCCTTCCAAGGATTTTTCAAGCTCTGCTGAATGATCTGGAGCCATTCCCAGCAATTTTCTGAACTATGAGTTTACAACACCTGCCTAAACTCATTCAGGGCCCATTATCTCACTTCTCTTTCAGTGCATTTACCTCCCTGCCACAGGATTGGAGACATTGGATAAAATGGCTCATGTGCTGTGTACTGACATGAGGTGTGGGCAAATGAAGGGCAATGTGATATCAACAACGCAAACAACCAAGAAAAAGCAGCAACAACATCAATAATAACAAAACAAGTAACAATAAATATTCAAATCCAATCCTTTTCTTCACAACACTGCAGAAATAAGGCATGAGATTAAAAACCTTCTGTGTTTTGATTCAACTATTTGGATTCTTTGTTAGCTTGTATAAACTATAAAAGAATTTGGGTTTACAATAAGTCACTCTTAGGTGACTTAGATTCTGTACAAGTTTGGAGTGAGAAAGTCTACCAGCCAAGGTCTTTGGAAGTATGTTTCAGATTGTCTTAATCTTTTGTTTGGAAAACCTGTATATTTAGATATGTTGATTCACGATACTGCTTACTCACCCATTACTTCATACATTTACTTTAATCGTGATTTGCTAAATGCTCACTATATAAATCAATCTCCCTTCCCCCATCTCTGTCAGATCGAAGCCAAGGACTCATGCCTGCTAAGCATGTGCCCTACCACTGAGCTACACTGCTATAATTAGGTCTTATTCTAGCAATCAATCAATAGCAGAATGTCATGTAGAGGTAAGGGTTATGCAGAAAACTTGAATAAGGACAGAATCCAATTTTGCTATGTGGACACAGAAGTCCCTCTGATAAGATGATGGCTGATTGAAGAGCTGAATGAAGAGAGGTATTAATCAGTGCTTACAAGAGCTTGCAGGGCTCCTCAAAAAACTACACATGCTCTGAATCATGTTTAATGCAGGACACAGAAATTTACAAGATTGGCCTATAATGGCCACCCACAGAGCCAAATGTAGAAGAGTGCAAAAAAAGTTCTGTGTGCATTCTAGAGATTGGAAGGATCCATTAAAGGCATGGAGCCCAGTGCAGTGTCCCATAGGAGTCTGCATCAGGAGGCCGAAGGATCCACAGCAAAGATGAAAGAGTCTGAGGCAGGAGGTCGAAGGGTCAGTGCTAGAAGCTAAAGAGTCTGTACTAGCAGGCTGCAGGCTGAAAGACTGGTGCTGGAAGCTGAAGAATCTGTGCTGAAAGTCAGGAAACAATTTCCAAAGTGAAGGCGAGGACTGAAGCGCCACTGAAGAGAACAGCTGAAGCTCCTCTGAGGAAATTCAGCTGCAACAAAGCTCTTCCAAGGAAAATCAGCTGAAATTCTTCCCTCCCATTCTCCTTTTATACCTTTGAAACAACACTCCTCCCTAAAATGGATCTTCCATGTCCACAACCATGCTGTCTCAGTTCAGCTGGATGGTTCCCACTCAAGTTGACATTCAATCAATTAACCACCACAGGGATGTATTAGAGGAAGGGCTCTCCAGGCAAGGAAAGAGCTCTCCTAGTAGAGGGAACAGCAGATCTGAGACCCCGAGTTGGGAGGCTCCTTAATAAAGGAGGTCATCAGGGAGGTTGGGAAGTGAAGTAACAAAGGGTAGCAACAGCAGGAGATGAAGCTGGGGTGGAGGCTAGAGCTCGTGAGTCTTGTAAGGACCTCCCACTTTAAAAGCGATGGTGTATTCGTTACTTTCTTGTTGCTGAGACCCAATACCCATAAATGAAAGGAGAAAAGATGTATTGTAGCTCACAGTTTGTAAAGGTTTTGGTCCATAGTCCACTGGCTCCAAGGCAGGGTGGTGGTCATGGGAGAGGAGAAGCAGCTCACAACAGGGCAGTGGGAAGCAGAGAGAGAGGGAGGGAGAGATCAAGGGAGGAGGGAGGGAGATCAATCCTTCCAGGCTGTGCCCCCAGTGACCCATCTCTTCCAAACATCATATGATTTATTAACTCAGCAATGGACTAGTCCACCAATGAGTATCACTCCCCTGTGATCCAATTGTCACAGGGAAGCAACTCCCAACCTATTAGATGTCATATGTGCTGAGTCTGAGTCTGCCAATACTGAAGAATGGCTATGAGGATAAAAGAGGTTAAGAGTACCAAAGTTTATTGAGAAAAAGCTCTTGAAGGACAGGAAGGGTCCCAAAAGTGTGTCACCACTGAGGGTCTTTGATCAAGGGCAATTTATACAGCAAAATCACAACTTAGATAACTATGGGTCAAGCTACTATCAGCCTATTGGATAATGAGTATAGTTTTAGCTAATATTGATCAAATAGGGAAGTGAGATACATAGCAAGGATATATGGTGAACATCATTATCTTTAGCTTATCTATAACTTCAAACCTAGAAAGAACAAAGGCAGTTTTAGAAATGGAGGGGAATATGGGTCAGGGTGTTTTGGTCACCCACCTATGTGTCTAACACCTTACCTAGGCTCACTAGACCAGGTATTGTTAATTATAATCTAATCTCATCTAAGTTGTTGTTTATCTCTAGACAGGCTTGCAGTCCTGGCTGTTGCATCTTTGTTTTGAAGCCTGGCTGACTTCAAATCCTCCTCTAGTCACAAGTTTGATGTGTCTCATCTTTTGCACTGACTCTCTTGAGGGCCTGGTCCTTCTCTGACTACCTCTTAGTTTCTAACTTAACTGTCTATAATACAATCATCTCCCCAAAGCCCTGCTGATGAGTACATGAGGCCTTAGGGACAGCATCCAGATATAAACCATACCAGACGACATTATCTGATTTACATTTGAGGGCCCGTCTGTCTGCTGAGTGGAGTACTCTAGGGAGTAACAGTTGAGGAAGAAGACATCCTAAAGGGTTGTTGTGAGCAGACCTCTGTGAGACTGGAAATAACCTTTGAAAGAGAGATCTGAGTGCAAGTGGTGTCTTGTGATGTTTGAAAAGGCATGGAAGAAGGGAAAGGAGGCACGACTGGGCAGAGGGAGCATTTGTGATTCAGTTGCAACCAAGGCCTCAGCCAGCTCCCCTGGGAACTCTGCATCTGGGTTACACTTACAGAGATGTCAGGCCTTTGTGACCCCTCATCAATCGTCAGATGCTGACTGTGTCTGGGGAAGACATGTGACTTGAGAGAGGCAGCTCCCTTTGATGAAAGTCAGTGGCCGAGGAGGAACTAAGTTGTGAGCTATCAGCAAGCAACACTTTCAGTGACTGGGTAATGAGTGCCTCCAACATGGAGTCATTTGGGTATCTATGGTAATCACGTGCCATTTCATTCCACTTGCTTCCTCTTTCTTCAGCCCATCTGGAACAGCTCCTCTAGGAACAATCTCTTTTCTGGAAACAAGATTAGTTTCATGGTTACAATTGAAACTTAATTTTTCTTTCCTACTTATTTTATGTTCTTTACACGTGGATAGCATTTTCGCTGGCCCCAGTAATTTATATGGTAGGACAACCCAGACCTCATTCCTAAGGGAGCTGAGCTGTGATTATACCATGACTTTCTGTTGTCCCTGCGCATTTACTATCAAAACGGGGAAGAGAAGAATCCAGCTCTATGGATCTCAAGGAGTCAGATGTGTTCTTCCCTGACTCTACCAAGGTAGAACAACCCTTCTTCCTCTTAAAAGTCAGGTTCCTTCACTCCTATGTGGGTGGTGATTCTTTTCTATTAGTCTTTTGGTCAAGTGGCCCAAAGTGGGCTGGTGACAGTCATATCGTAATGTTTAATAAGACTGTTGTGTTCCAAATGGAAGTGTTTCATCTCTGGGAAACATGACCTCCAGGCTCACAAAACCTAGAACTGTTATGGTGGAAAGTACAAATTCTTTAAATGGGTCACTAGAAGTGAAAGGAAGCAGTTACTCTTACTTCTACCACACCAGTCCCAGACCCAGGTACACTACTTTTTGGTAATATAATATCACATTATAGCAATTGATCTGATTTATATACTTCATCTCCAGGCAGGCACCATCACAAGGACAGTCCATAGCTCCATCAAGCCAGAAGTCTCTGGAGACTGTGCATGTGATGACTCTAATGGAATTCATCATCACTGCTAACTAAACCTCTGAAGGTATGAATTTGATTCTCCACTCTGACATTGTGTCATGTTGAGTCCCATGTTGGTGGATCAAATATCCTCTAACCCTTTGAATAATAGTGCTTTCTGAGGCTCTGCGGGCATGAAAGGCAAGTACATGACTGAAAACTCAGTTGATTCTAGTTAGGGGAATCATAATCCTTTTAGAATGGGAGTCTCATTGAAGGATGCTACCAACCTTGGAAATCATATTTTGTCTTTGTTGCTGGGATACTAGAAATTCAGTGTCCATAATAGTTGAATCAGGCTTCAGTGAATAAAATCCCATACTGGTGGGCATACTATGCAGCCTCTATTCTTGTTATACCAATCATGTTCCTATAATGAATTCCTATCATATTCTGAGGTGGACAATGACAGGATAGCTAGTGTCCTCTAGCCAGTACCTCCCTTGTCATAATGTGGAATGTGAACATTGGTCCCAGATGAAGCTGAGCTGAGCAGAGCAGCTTCAGCTGTGCCAGCTAAAAGATGCTAGTGGTTTGTTGGATTACACATTGAGTATGAGAGAAAGAGGGGTCAAAAAAGACTCCTAGGTTTTCCACTTAAGCATCATGGTGATAGTGGAACCACTTTTGGGACAGAAAGATTGTGGAAAGTACAAGTTTAGAAATGGGTAAAATGATCTCAAAACTTTAAGACATGTGTTTGAGTTGTCCACTAGCCAGCCAAAGGAAGGGTTGAGTCAACAGTTGGATGTGTCAGTTTAAATTTCAGGGAGAAGATTGGGATTGCATGGATAAAAGGGGACTTCATCCATGAAATGTCCAAATTTCAATAATTAAGGTGGTCCATCTGGCAATTTTTTTCTACACAACGTACTGTTTGCATTTTCAAGAATGAAGTACAGAGGCAGGTCTGTGCACACCCTACCAAGGTCCCAAGTCATGAGGAACACGCCGAATCAGCCCGCACCCCGACAACAATCCACTGGACCCCCACCCCTGCTCCTCTGTACAACCACCTGGTTCCACACTACAAAGACGCAGAGGACACTGGAACACCAGACCATGGTACTGAGTCCTGCTGCTCCCGGCCCAGAGGTAGGGGCTTCTGAGCTGCTGTTCCACTACTCCTGGTCCAGAGGAAGGGGCTTCCCAGCCACCATTCCTCCCGCTTCTCCCAGCCCAGAGGAAAGGGCTTTTGGGCCACCTTCTGTCTTGCTGCTCCTGGCCCAGAGAAGGGGCTTCTGGGCCACCATCCCTCCCACCGCTCCTGGCCCAGAGGTAGGGGCTTCTGAGCTGCCATCCCACTGCTCTAGGTCCAGAGGAAGGGGCTTCCTGGCCACCAACCCTCCCGCTGCTTCCAGCCTGCAGGAAAAGGCTTTTGGTCCACCATCCCTACTGCTGCTCCCTGCCCCTGTCCCACCTCTCCCAGCTGAGAGGAGGGAATCCATTCAGGTGCTAACAGCACCCCGACCCAGTGGAAATGAGAAAACATGTAAATAAGTCTCAAAACCAGACTTCCAGATCACCTACAGCAACCCCAAAGGGAAATGAGATGGAACACTCTGATACTCAACCACCTGGACCCACTGAACTGGCAACAAAAGGGGATCTGGAAAAAA